AAAATTATTCATTAAATTTAGTTTTCGAGCGTCAGCTTAATCTGGTAAAATGCGAGACGAAAAAAATGATAGATAGAGCCTTATGACCCACTGTAGAATGATGCCGAATAATACATCAACGACGTAGTTTATCGGCAGATAAACGTGTTTCCATTCTCGGCTGACTGAGGAAAGGTTTGAGAGAGCATTTAAAGAAGAGGCGGTCGAACCAATAGTGAGTAGGAAGTGTGCTGCAATCAAGACGAACAATACCGATCATAAGTGGACAGCTAATAACCCCTAATTAACCCCGGGTTACGCGCTGCTGTGTTGACTCCTTGCTGGGAAGGGGTAGCGGCCTCCTACTGCTGTGCGTAATCAAACATTGTCTTCTAACATGCGACTACACGACGGTTGTATTGTATTAATAAAGTAATACCTATTCATAAGGAAGGGGGCGGATGGTAATCTTACGAGAATTAAATCAGTTATCGATCATACGCGTACCAATAGTCGTGTTTTTTTTTAGCTATACGGTATTATGCAGTCATACGCAATGATATATCGTGGATAACCAAGGAGACATCGCTCTACACAGTCAAGTATTTCATTATATTGAAGTGTTCTAATAATAGTGAATCATTGGCAAAGATTCGTGCCAGATTACATGAAGAAATCTATTCACAAAGCAACATTTTTTCTGCAGCCAATAGCTACTAACATATTCCCAATATGTCTATCTAGATCATCTGTCTCAAGGAAAGAGGCGACATCACAGTATATCCTCTATCCATGGCATGTGCTTGTTACTTTCGAGCCTCATAAAGGTGCCCTAGATACCCTGTACACATAGTTATATTGGAGCTGTTGACTGAGGGAAATTACTGCTTTATTCTGATTGCATACCCTTAGCAAAATGAAAAGTTTGCAGCAATATTGCCGCAATTGCAGTAAAATTTGCGGCAACAAGTTTGCAGGAGTTAGCAAGAAAAATTTGTATTGCTGCTAATTTGCAACAAATTTGCAATTACAACTAGAGTTTGCAGCAGGTTTGCAAGAAAATCCTTTATGTTGTGGCAAATTTGCGACAAATTAGAAGCAAATTTGCAAGTTTGCAGTAAGTTTGCAAGAAAGTATTCAAGCTCTTGCAAATTTCTCGCAAATTTGCAGCAAATCTGTACCAAATTTGCAGTGAATTTGCCAGATAGTTTGCGGCAAGTTTGATATTTTGCTAAGGGTAAAATAGTTCTGTTTCACTGTATGCAAAGACTGAAAAGTGAACAATTCATACTTATGTATCAAAACTAAAACAACATCTGTAAATGTTGCAAAAATCTTTCGTCACGTATTGAAGGAGCATCAACTGTAATTATTGGTTACCACTGAAGCATTTGAAATGTATCAGTGAATGCTAAAGACAACAAGGTTGATATGCAATAATAACAAATATGCATATCAACCTTGTTGAATAATACGTGCCAGATAACTGTTATGTTAACACAATATTATTTCTACAATGTATGTATAGTACATCGTTTCTCTAGAATAAGAAATGTTATTTGATAATTTTACACTTCAAAGATATTTCAAGAATAAGACATATTATTTGCTGATTCCCTTATCTTACTTTCCAGAAATCTGCAAGGAGTGCAAGCCTCTTGGAAGCGGTCTTGGAGGCTTTTTTGCTATTGAGGGTGACCCAGTCCACTACCTTCGCTGTGTTCCACAGGGTGACACTTGGCAGGTGCTCGTATTACACTGCTGTAATAACACAAATCTAGGGGGCGGCAGCACTGTGTGGGACCAAGAAGTTTTGGCTTGTGTTCATGACCCTGATAATTGGCCCAATCCCTACCCATGTGGTAAGTAATGAGCCTTACCGATGGTTAATCCATGGTACAATGGACAAATGCCCTTGTGGATACAGATCCAGGTGTTCCGCCGGTGTATAATCGTAAGTTGGCCTCATAAGTATCCATTTTATTATATGGAGACCGCTATGCTTCGTCTTTTCTATCCGATACATCACAGTAAAGACACTCAACATGTTATTGTATATTTTTTTTTTACTTTGACGTTGTACATGTATTTTATATGTCTGTTTACGCTTTGTGGTATCAAATATTTAAATTCCGCGGTCATTTTGTTCTTCAAATACCAATTTAATCTTACCATCGGTTTCATTCATTTATTATATCAAATCGCTCATATTCAGTTCACCTGTTTCCTAGCATTTTGGCCTCTGGTGTGGACCCCCCATCTCGACTCTCTGGTAGAGGACAGAGACTTTCCCTTTCCAGTCGGTCTCGTTTACACTGGGGTGTACACTTTCGCTGGAGGTCACGTGAAGAGGGGCTTCCGAACGAACGATGTGCCGCAAACGGTACCGACCATTGAATTCGACGGACAAATGGTCCCTTACCACGACACCGCCCAGAAATCCTACTCCCACATCGAGATCCCATTCTTCCAGAACGCTGATTGGAGCTCATACTTGCCCGGATTCACGTTCACCCTGGGGTTCTGCGTGGACCCAGGTTCTCCACCAGACGCTGCTCTCATCACTAATGCTGACTGTAATTTCACCGCCTCCGTGGAGCTCACGCTTAGAGGTGGTAACACACTCGAGGCTATGGTCCGCACTCAAGGTGGCCCAGAGGATAAAATTTCTCTGCCTTTACCGGCACCAAGGGTAAGCAAGTGAAATAGCTACTAAGGAATATTCTGCCATTTTCAAAGAAAGGTTTAAGAAATTTTTCAATAAATTCTATCCCATCAAATTTCATCCAAGCACACAAACATTCAAATTGGAGTCTAAAATTATTTTTACGAAAAAAACATCTCTTTTGTGATTTCAGCCAAGTGGTTGTTACTTTGCCGGATTTTCCTACACACGTGCTACCAACCAGATGCTTTTATGGTTGGATGACGGTTCTTCCATAACAGGAACAGCCTCAGGTAACACGTTTTTATTTGATCCGAGTGTTTTGCATCTAATTTACACCAATGTTTTGTTTGAATTATTTATAATTTGTACAAAATATTATTTCCAATTATTTTTGAGGTACGTTTTATCTTAGTTTGAAAAACGACCTTCTACACGTATGCGATCCCTTTCCAGTCCAGCACCCCTTGACCCTCATGGAGTTAATTTGACTCCTATATAAGGGTCAAATTACCCCACTACCAGAGTCTTTAGACACTCTTATCAAAGTCAATCCCCCTGGCTCTCATGGAGTCAATCTGACTCTAAAATCAGAGTCAAATTACCGGGGGCTAGTGTCTGGCTGACCCCTTTCACCGACTCTTTTCGCTCGCTGGACAGTAAGCCTCGTTTCAGTACTTGTGATGGCAGTGAGCAGACGGCATGGAGAGAACAGTTCTCAAAATTCTTTGTCAGTATAAAAATTACTTTATTGGCCATAGTTGGTTTTATGCATGAACAAGTGGTTTTCTGTGTGTTTCTGCATGCAGAGAGATAAATCAAGGGATGAAGGGATATGTGAATGCAGTAAATTGTGACCCTCCTGTGGGGTCTGGGATGGCGTTACTCCATCGGAGTCAACTTGACTCCAATTGGGAGTTATTTTAGGCACCACTGCTGGACTCCAAGTTTGGAGTCACTTGGACTCCGATTTTATTCTCAGTGTTTTATTCTCGAGAGCACAGCACTTGCTTTTCTTCTTTATATAATCATTAAAAAGAGCATGGAAATTTTAAAAAGCGAAATCTATTTTACAGGACCACCGAGGAAAATCAATCAAAATCCGTTATTCTTCGGATACAGTTGCTATGGTTACCCTGATACGTCACCGCCACGTGCTCTGGATGGAGCCATGGCTGCAGTACGTCTCTCTCTCTCTCTCTCTCTCTCTCTCTCGCTCTCATATTTTGCTAAAAATTTCTAACATTTCCTTTTCGATAATCCTTTTATTGCTCTATTTAGTATGATCTGTAAAATATGTATTTATTTATGCCATAGCATTCAAAAACTTTCTAACGCACTCTGTTTGGCAATCAAAATGTTTGTAACCTTTTGATCGTTAGCTCTGGGTTCATATCTTTCAGATTCATATCTGGGGTGACCGGGCAATGAACATAGCCGAAATGAACAATGAGTGTCTTTTGGCTGGATTCTGTCCTGTATAGGAGTATCGTGGCAAGATGAAACCCGAGGCCTTGACACGGACTTTCAGTGCCAGATGTTTGAAACGCCTGCCAGTGATAATTACTGCAGCGTTGTGAACACTCAGCATGCTGTCTATCGCGAGGTGTGAACAGTACTAAAACACGTCGATGTAATTTAAGTTTTATGGCATGACTTAATGGATGATTCATCTAAAAGTAAGATTTCATAGGCTGCAGTTAATGGATTTTTTTCTGATACACTTTCAGCATCATTCCTGTAAGTTGTTGCACCTTTGACGATAATGGTATGCTGAATGTTTCTATGTATTTTATGTAATTTTGATATGTAATTATATTTGTAATATTTCATCTAAATTGTCATATGTATTTATATGTATCTATAAACGTTTAACAATGCACACCCCTTGTTTTCATCAGATGGAATGTTTTGGTGTCAATGTAAAGGATATTAAAAGTGACATGCAACACATTTATTCTAAATTTAATGGCCTCTTTGAAATTTAGATTTGAACGCTTTGTAATGATTTACCTGATGCCGTGACGACTGCGACGAGACTAGAGTCAGTGTAAATAAACAGAACGTAAATCGATTTAACCTTCGCCAGCGTCTGGTATAGGGGGTGTGAGGGGTCTCGCCCCCCCCCCCCCCCTTCGATTCTTGAAAAAAATGACACCAATTGTCCCCTATAGAGTTATGACTAACCATTATTCTAACCTGTACCCAATGGCACCGTTCGCCCTCAAAAATACCAAAATTTTCAAAATTTTCCCTTCAGCGGGCCCAGAACCCCACACCAAGGGGGTGGGGGCGAGAGTCGGATTTGCATCCGCGGTCTGTTATTCATATAATCCCGACCCCCTTCAAATGATCCTGGATCCGCTCCTGTTATCTCTTTTATATTGTCAATTTATAAGCTTTTGAGCAGGTGTCTCTTCTGCATGTTTGTATTACTGTGTAACTATAGGGCATAACATTTTGCACGTGTATATATTATTTTGTAGAACAAAAGCCAGATAAAAGCGCTAAGCAGCTTTTTTTGAGCCACTCACATTCAAATGGCAAATATGAAAATAAAGATATTATTTGTTTATGTATTATATAGAAAGTACAGTGAAAGCATGCATATGTTTGCATGTTATGTCATACAATGTGTTTTTGTGTGTTGTTCATTAAAAAATATTTAAGCCAAGGATGACTGTACTGGGAGGCATTGGAAACATGTTATATAGACTAAACGCACAATATATTATATTATCTGTATATTTTATCAGAAGTCCTAAAAGTACCTAATATTACCACGCCTATGGTTTAATTACGTGCATATGCGTTAACACTGGTAACCATGGTCCAAAGATTAAGTTATTAATAAATATTGCATGAACACGATTTGCAATTCAAAATCACACATCGTTCCTGGGTCAAACAAGTCGGGAGAACCCGTATAAAACTCAGTGGAAATATATTCATATCTTAATTACTGACTAAGGTTGACCTTTGGACATCAAGCAGTGATTAAGTAAGGTTTGTTAAAGTCGTAAAACTGTAACCGACAAACTTGAAATCCAAATTGGATCTCCAAAATACTTTGTAGAACAGACATATCTCAACTTACTCCGATGACTGCAGCCAATGTCTGCCTTACGTGATTGAAATGTTATTTATCAAGACACCGTCTGTACAGAAATACTTATGTTAATGATATTTATTTCCATTCCAGCAGCATGGCAGGCCCCCAGGTTCTGATCTTTGCGGCTTTACTAGGTTGTGCCTTTGCACCGCCACCTATTGTTCCACCATATGGACCGGCCCCGGCGCCTTCAGTGTATTCCTACCGGTGGTCCGTGAACCCGCCAGCAGTGGCTTACACTTCTCTGACACCAGGTTTGTCTCTTTGTGCGTAATGTAATCTTAGAAACGGGTAGAAGCAGCATTGTTTGATCTTAAAATCTCTTCAAATGTCTTGAAACTGTTTTTTTTAAATATTTGCAATACTACAATTAATTGTAAATAGCTTATCTTAAAACATGTTGATAAAACAGGGTTTCTCAATTTTTTATATCTGAAAAAGTGTCATTACTAGTTTTATAAAATGCCAGAGCTTGTAAAGATTGCTTTGTAAAGTGCAAAGATTCATGAAACATTAAAAGCTGTAAATTATATTAAAAAAGAAATGAAAATCTGTGTCAGATATAAAATGTTTGACATAAATAATTCAACATTTTACAAGTCAATTTTGAGCGACAGTTTCTAAATAGGAATTTAATTCTTTTAATATTTTTAATAATTGCAGATGAGGCAGAAGGTAAGATAACATTTTCATTTTTTAAATTTTCGTTTCTATGTAGATGACAACTAGAGTTTGGACAATTTGAAAAAGTTTCCCATATAATATGATACATGTAATTTATACAATACAATGAAAAATAAATATTTTTTATCACATCCACACACGGTGTTTTGTGTTTCAGATTTAATGCCACGTTATTATTAATGCTTTGGTCTTCCATAGCAATCTGTAAGGAGTGTAAGCCCCTTGGCAGTGGACTTGGCGGCTACTTTGCTGTTGAAGGTGACCCAATCCACTACATTCGCTGTGTTCCGCAGGGTGACAGTTGGCAAGTGTTTGTATTACATTGCTGTAACCACACTTCCGAAGGCGGTTACAGTACCGAGTGGTTCCAGGAATATTTGGCGTGTGACTATGGTTCACACCCCAACCCCTACACGTGTGGTAAGTAATTGAATATCAATATTTATCCTGCGGAAACAATAACGAAAATAGACCACAACATGCATCACAGTTAACTGTTATTTTTAAAGCGTTTATTCTTTTCTCTTCTAAAAAAATTGGGTTCTACATTTGTGTATCTGTCCTTTGATAGCATGGGAAAATGGAAATTTACACTGTGACTTCGTTTTGCTAAACCATTGAAATTTGTAAAGAGTCCACATAAGTGTGAGACTCTAGTGGAACTTCCATGCATTCCATATTTCTTTCGATTTTATTTTTCAGAGGGGTTTAAAGACGTCGACCCACCTGTTCCGCCGCAGTATGTTCGTAAGTTCAACCACACATGATATGGTAGTAATGAAGCTTTATTCAAATATTTTATTCTTTATTAATATGCATTTCTTTTGACTTCATTGACCTCGATTGCCGTGGGATGTTTTGAGGACGTTTTATGCGTCCAAGGTATTGCAACTGTTTTCTGTGCAAATAACTCAGCTGTTATTTAGAACTCCTTTATAAGCGTAGATAACGTCCTCCTAGCAAACACAGACCGTCCTTATATCGTTACCATAACGTTTTTTTAAACAATGTTTATTCAAAAGAAATGGAGGCAAAGCGCTAAAGGCATTAAATGCTCTCCATGTAAAACAAATTAAATAAGTAAATAAATAAAACAAATGGATATACACAAGAAGTAACAGAATATATATATATAAGAAAAGAAAAAAGAGATAAAAGGAGGTCATAACTATTTAACGTGCACAACGTTATGGTAACGTTGTGGTAACGTTTATAAAACGTTCTGTGTTTGCTAAGCTGAGTATTACTTGCACTTTCATTCAGCATTCTGGCCACTGCAGTGGACCCCCAAACTGGACAGTCTGGTAGAGGACAGAGACTACGGTAAACCAGGGGGTGTTGCTGCCCGCGTGTATACGGGAGTTTATGACCATAACAACGTGAAGAAGGGCAGCCTCCTCGTGGAAGCAACTCAGGAGACCGTCCCAACGATCGTATTCGATGGCCAAAAAGTCGGCGACACTTACGCTCATATTGAGGTTCCGTTCTTCGAGAACGCGGACTGGAGTCAGTACAGCCCCGGGTTCAGTTTCACTTTCGGTTTCTGCATTGATGCCAATACGCCACTTGACGCCGCATTGATAACCAACGCCGACTGTAACTTTACAGCTTCCATTGAGATCTCACTCCAGCCGAACCCGAATCCATTAGGCCTACTGGNGTATAATATAGAAAGTACAGTGAAAGCATGCATAGGTTTGCAGGTTATGTCATACAATGTATTTTTGAGTGTTATTAAATTTAAAAAAAAACATTTGAGCCAACGATGACTGTACTGGGAGGCATTGGAAACATGTTGTATAGACAGAAATTGTATATTTTATAAGAAGTCCAAAAATACCCAATATTACCACGCCTATGGTTTAATTACGTGCATATGCGTTAACACTGGTAACCATGGTCCTCAGATTAAGTTATTAATAAATATTGCATGAGCATGATTTGCAATTCAAAAACACACATCATTCCTGGGTCAAACAAGCCGGGAGAACCCGTATAAAACTCAGTGCAATGATACTCGTATTTTAATTACTGGCTAAGGTTGACCTTTGGACGTCCAGCAGTGATTAAACTAGGTTTGTTATAGCCGTAATACTGCTATCGACAAACTTGAAATCCACTTTGGATCTCCAAATAACGTTGAGGAATAGACATATACCAACATAATACGATGACTGCAGCCAATGTCTGCCTTGGATGATTGAAATATCATTTATCAAGACACCGCCTGTACAGAAATATTTATGTAAATGATATTTATTTCCATTCCAGCAGCATGGCAGGCCTCCAGGTTCTGATCTTTGCGGCTTTATTGGGTTGTGTCTTGGCAGTGCCACCTATCAACCCACCGTACGGCCCAGCCCCGGCCCCTTCAGTGTATTCTTACCGGTGGTCCGTGAACCCGCCAGCAGCGGCTTACAATGCTCTGACACCAGGTTTGTCTCTTTGTGGGTAATATAATCTTAGAAGCGGGTAGAAGCAGCATTGTTTGATCTTAAAATCTCTTCGAATGTGTTGAAACTGTTTTTTTTTTCAAATATTTGCAATACTACAATTAATTGTAAATAGCTTGATTAAATCAGCAATATCTTAAAACATGTTGATTAAACAGGGTTTCTCAATTTTTTATATTTGAAATAGTGTCATTCATAGTTTTATACAATTGTAGGGCTTGTAAAGATAGATTGCTTTGTAAAGTGTAAAGATTCATGAAACATTAAAAGCTGTAAATTATATTTAAATAGAAATGAAAATCTGTGTCAGATATAAAATGTTTGACATAAATAATTCAACATTTTACAAGTCAATTTTGAGCGACAGTTTCTAAATAGGAATTTAATTCTTTTAATATCTTATAATTGCAGATGAGGCAGAAGGTAAGATAACGACATTTTCATTTTTTTATTTTCGTTTCTATGTAGATGATCACTAGAATTTGAAAAAGTTTCCGATATGATACATGGATTTTATACAATACAATACAATACAATACAATACAATACAATACAATACAATACAATGATAAATATATATATTATATCACATCCACAGGTGTTTTGTGTTTCAGATTTAATGTTACGTTATCATTTATGATTTGGTCTTCCATAGCAATCTGCAAGGAGTGTAAGCCCCTTGGCAGTGGACTTGGCGGCTACTTTGCTGTGGAAGGTGACCCAATCCACTATATTCGCTGTGTTCCGCAGGGTGACAGTTGGCAGGTGTTTGTATTACACTGCTGTAACCACACTTCCGAAGGCGGTTACAGTACCGAGTGGTTCCAGGAATATTTGGCGTGTGACTATGGTTCACACCCCAATCCCTACACGTGTGGTAAGTAATTGAATATCAATATTTATCCTGCGGAAACAAGAACGAAAATAGACCACAGCATTCATCACAGTTAACGGTGATTTTGAAAGCGTTTATTCTTTTCTCTTCAAAAAAATTTTTACATTTGTGTATCTGTCTTCTGATAGCATAGGAAGAATGGAAATTTACACTGTGACTTCGTTTTGCTAAACCATTGAAATTTGTAAAGAGTCCACATACGGGTGAGACTCTAGTGGAACTTCCTTGCATTCCATATTTATTTCGATTTTACTTTTCAGAGGGGTTTAAAGATGTCGACCCACCTGTTCCGCCGCAGTATGTTCGTAAGTTCAACCACACATGACATGGTAGTAATATAGCTTTATTCAAATATTTTATTATTTATTAATATGCTTCTTCTTTGACTTCATTGACCTCGATTGGTGTGGGATGTTTTGAGGACGTTTTATGCGTCCAAGGTATTGCAACTGTTTTCTGTGTGAATAACTCAGCTGTTATTTAGAACTCCTTTATAAGCTTAGATAACGTCCTCCTAGCAAACACAGACCGTCCTTATATCGTTACCATAACGTTTTTTTAAACAATGTTTATTCAAAAGAAATGGAGGCAAAGCGCTAAAGGCATTAAATGCTCTCCATGTAAAACAAATTAAATAAGTAAATAAATAAAACAAATGGATATACACAAGAAGTAACAGATTATATGTATATATATAAATTTAAGAAAAAAGAGAGATAAAAGGAGGTCATAACTATTTAACGTACACAACGTTATGGTAACGTTGTGGTAACGTTTATAAAACGTTCTGTGTTTGCTAGGCTGAGTATTACTTGCACTTTCATTCAGCATTCTGGCCACTGCAGTGGACCCCCAAACTGGACAGTCTGGTAGAGGACAGAGACTACGGTAAACCAGGGGGCGTTGCTGCCCGCGTGTACACGGGAGTTTATGACCATGGCAACGTGAAGAAGGGCAGCCTCCTCGTGGAAGCCACTCAGGAGACCGTCCCAACGATCGTATTCGATGGCCAAAAAGTCGGTGACACTTACGCTCATATTGAGGTTCCGTTCTTCGAGAACGCGGACTGGAGTCAGTACAGCCCCGGGTTCAGTTTCACTTTCGGTTTCTGCATTGATGCTAATACGCCACTTGACGCTGCATTAATAACCAACGCCGACTGTAACTTTACAGCTTCCGTTGAGATCTCACTCCAGCCGAACCCGAATCCATTAGGCCTACTAGGGCAGAGTGATTACCTTCTGCAGGCACTGATACGTAGCCAAGGAAATAGTCCAGATACCATATCCACCGTTCTGCCCCTTTTCAAGGTAAGTGTACGACAACATACTCCCTGGTGGCGTTCAAGAAAAATAAAAATTTGTTCAACCAGTCAAATAAGGCTGGCTCTAGTAAAAGCTATGGGTTATAGGCAATCAGTCAGAGCAATGCGTTGGGGACAAAAGGTACCATGTACTTACTGTATATGCTAATGAGGCACTGCGTGCTGAGGATACTTTTGGTAACATAAGATCCACAAGTTCCATAAATACGTGCACTTTTCAACCTGCTCAAAGATCATGTCCGCATAACATATGAGGGTAGGTCTCAAATCTCCACTTTCGTTCTTACGGGCGGAACAAATAAAAATGACCTTTGGGAAGACAAAATTCGCATAGCATCCAGCGACACAAAATAACATCTATATTGTTAAAGTGTTAAGCATTTCCTTTGTTGTAGCCCCCTCTCTGTTACTTCGCTGGGTTCTCCTACACCCAGGCCGGGAACAAGATGTTGTTGTGGAGGAATGGCAACGTGGTCACAGGGACGGCCCAAGGTAATGTTCAGTGCGAGTATGGAAAGTACGGCACCTGGGCGCAACTGAAGAGGGCGCCCCTGAGGACTTTTTATCATAATTTATTGATTTAAAGATTTGCGAGTTTGGCTTATATTTTTCAGCTATTGTTATGGTTTTAACCAATTTAAAAATTGTCTAATAATGGATGTCAGGTGATTCAACGGTGCAATTTAAGTGCTAGGCAGAGACCATTTTTTGAAATTTTTCAAAAGAGTTTTACGTTCAATTGTTTTAATTTTGTAAACATATTTCTTAATTATCATTCTTTTCAACTTCTTTGTAGGGCCACCAAGGCGTATCAACCAGAACCCATTGTTTATCGGGTACAGTTGCTATGGTTACCCAGACCAACAGCCGCCGCGTGCTCTTCATGGATCCATGTCGTCTGTAAGTTTCCCTTCTCTGCCTTATATTTGATATTACCTCTTTACACACATTACCACGTTAGCTTTATTTATATGGAATACCGTTGTATGTCTATGTATGGCCACCTTCAGTATTTTTTTATGAATTTATAGCCCACTGAAACATTTGTTCTTTATTTCAGATAAAGATTTGGGGAGACAAAGCACTGGATGCCGCGCAGATTAACCAAGAATGCGTTGACGCCAAGTTCTGTAATTTATAATTGTCATAAACTGACATCATGAGTGAGATATTGAAAAAGACGAGGTCATCTTATCTCTGAGATTGGTCGATTTAATATCTACCTCTTAAAGGACATCTGCCGTTTATTTACCTCTAGATTTATCTTGACTCTGAAAGGTGTATGTCAGGAATAAAGGAAATTTTTAATTTCCACTGTGTTAGTTGTGCCGTCAATTGTGTTAGTCGTTCCAAGGATAGATTGTGCCCACAAAACGTGTTGCGTTCTCTTGCTATGGTTAAAATGAACTTTTTATGTTTGGCAAAAATGTTTATGTTTGGTAAAATGATTTAATGTATCAGTAACTGCTCTGCGCTACTTGTAAAAAATTAAGAAAGCATGTTTCGGATATATCAAAACATTTTTAAAAGAACAAGCAGATCCAAATGATCGACTTAAGTTTCTTACTCTCATTTTAAATGTTAATTTCTCTATCTTTCTCTCCAATCTTTACCAAATCTGTTATCCTCAAGCACTCAGTCTCAAACGTTTGAAAATCTCTTTTGTGCAGTATCTATTTTTCTCCCCTATCGGGCGAAGAATTTTCTGTCAAAACTGCCAGATGCTCGATAAAAAACGTCATTTCCTATTAAAGGTGTATGTGACACGGGGAATGTCATCTTTTGTAATTTAAATGGGCAGTTTTACAAAGACGTCTACTTGAATTTTTTCCAGTGTTTTCTGTAAAACGGGAAGACGTACAGTACATTACTCTTTCATAACGGAAAAGGTTTTCCGCTCAAAATATGTTATTTCATGTCTACGATCATTAGATTAATAAGTAATAACGCGATATACATTATTTTAATAACTTAAATCGAGGGCCCTGGAGTGAGTCGAAAAAGACTTAAAAGTCTTCAATTTACCTTTAAAAGCAAGCAAAATCTACCTAGACGGTAAATATTTTATAGATATGATAGATAAATATAATGTAATGTTTCAATAGGGACCCTTTCCGGGTCATTTTATTAAGGCAATTTCTTTACCTTTATTATATTGCTAGAAAACGTTTTCATTGACATAACAAAAACTAACATTTTACGGAAAGTAAGTTAAAATCGTAATGTTCTATTCACAGGTAATTGGATTGAATACCAACACTTAAAACCCCTTCACACAGGAGGGCAATCCTTGTGCTTCCTTTGTGCGACCATGAGATAGCTGGCCAAGTCGCCATTGGAGGCTCAAACTAAAAGGCTGAGGTGAAGTGATTGGGTGGCTAAAATTGTATAAAGATGGCACACAGGATGTTCACGTATCGCCGTTGACGCCATAGTCGACGTGAAGTTCATAACAATCCGCCATGGAGGTACCAGTAACTGGTGGCAGAAAGCAGGCTCAAAGAAGCTAGAAATAATGTGCAGACACTGCCGTGGTTGCAGAACGGATGCTCAATGGTCGGTCGGCGCTTATAAATGCAATTTTTTACTATCTAACACTGATAGAAAAATTATAAACGCTCATCAGTCCCATAGCAGACAGAGGCATGATTGAATGGTTGCCACTGATTGCCGTCGGAGGCAAGGAGGAGGATCAGTGGTTGCTCAAGCATCGTCTGCCGGTCTGACAGGCAAGGTGCTCAGTGGACGCACAGTTCGCTCGTAGTTCTATAGGAAAAACCCGTGTTACATGTAAGTCACTGAAATGAGGCAAAGGGTCGCAGGAGCCTTTTCACAGAGACACGATTTTATGGCTTTGTCGACCATTTAGCATCCTCGTTGAAGAGGGTAACGAGGGCCGCAGCTCTGTGTAAAGGGGGTCTTACAGTGTACATACTGTATGTACCACCAGTATATTACGAAGAAAGATAATTGATAAAACCGTATGACGATCTACGTTTCATAATACACCAATACCTAAAAATAAACCTGTGGATATTGTATAAAAACAATATGCCCTTGTTACAGAGGCACAAAATACATGTGTAATTTTTATATGTTCTGTTATGGTGCACGATAACAGATTATTCAAAATAACAGCTAAATATCAGAGTTATCTCCATTTTAATATTTCAGTGTTACTCAGGACACTTATTCAGATTTCCTTTGGCAAGCTATAGGATTTTATTTTCGGTCTCATTTGACGCATCTTGCAATGCAAAGGAGGTAGAAAAAACATTCATTTAGTATTTTTGACAGATAATGACGCTCAGGTGTAGCACACCATGGCCACTAGCCGTAGATTCCTGCCTATTTACGTTAACGCATGCGTAGTTAACCAATACAAATTACTTTTCCACAGATAACGACGTGCATGTATCACCGGAAATGAACGGGTTAACCGCGCATGCGCGACATAATCTGTACAAGATGAATGCTCACCGTCATTAGTCCGTGCTGTCATCTTCCGGGATTGAAGTCACAAAAGATTAAAGTTATAATCTTTTATATATCTTTAAGGCGTTGGTTGGTTTACATCGCTGAAGTATGAAAAATGTTTTTCAGTTGCAAATTTTATACTTAATATTTGCAAAAATTATAGATAAATCTATATTCAGAGGTGCTGCATTTTAAGTGCGTATGCCATAGGCCTATTTTGATATAGGGGCGTAATATCCTTGTCACCATATTTTGTCTGTTGCTGACAAGGGAATGTTGTACTTAAGATTTGCAGGTTGAATTGGTCCTCTATAATTGGTTTGAAACAAAATGCCACATAAGATTCCCCAGTGATAGGGTTTGCAAGTATCGACCAGTTTTTTCTATATTTATTTATCGTATATTAATAAGGACACCCTTCACATTTAAGGTAGGACCGCTGGTTGGAGATTTTATCTTAAATTAAAGGTCTAAGCTTTTTTATTCCTGTTGCATTCATTTAATGTATCTTCAAAATTATGCTGGAAACACAGCTCCAAGTTCATAGTGTGACATAATTTTGGGATTTTGGGGACAAAAACATCATTTCCGGTTTCCTGATTTTCTAAGGCACCTGGACAGCGATAAACATGCTCTTAATGGTATTTTAACACTTGAACAAAGTACTACAAACGGGGTTCGGGGATTTTTCTTTAAAGACTTACTGTTGATTTTATTAATAAAAACGTGATTGTTAGCCCTATTTGGGTACAGCCCCCATTGACAATACCGGATGCGGTCCATGATGAATCAAACCACAATTTAGTTTTTCATTTTCCGTTGTTATAAAGGACAACTCTATGTGCCAAAGACTGGTGGGTTTAACAGTAGTTCACCAGGTCCGGATTTAAATGTTTTTATAACTTTTATTTTTGTCTTCCTTTTCTCACATTAAACCGCATAGACAGTCCGAAAGAATGGTTTTATAAATACACCGATTACATAACGCCACGATCAAATGGACCAAGCACTTAACAGACAGGGATGAATATTTCAACGGAAAACCCTTGAAGAGCTACCCAGAGTAACTTGAAGGGTGACAACTTATGTCTGGCAGCATCAGAAATATGTTGAATAATTAATGCGATTATTTAAAGTGCTTCTTTATGTTGGTCTTACCCATGTATTTATGTAGTTGTTTGTCGGAATAATTTTACTAAGCGTCCTCATCCTCATCTTTAATCATGATTATTTTTAAGTGCAATCACATCTCCATAACATATTCATATTGCTGTAATAGTGCCAGCATACATGAGGACATGATTCACGACAGGCAGGTTGTATGTATTATGCAGTCATACTCAGTGTTGTATCGTGGATAACCAAGGAGACATCGCTCTACACAGTCAAGTATTTAATTTTATTGGAGTGTTCTAATAATAGGGAAATCAGTGGTAAAGATTCGTGCCAGATTACATGAATAAATCAAACACTGTCATGTTGAAATGACGCTTTCTTGGGAAGAGATTTGTAAGGGACTTAGATTTTTCCACCTCTATTCACAAAGTGATAATTTATCTGCAGCCAATAGTTACCAGCATATTCTCAATATTTCGATGTCTATCTAAATCACCTTTCTCAGGAAAAGAGGCAATATCACAGTTTATCCTCTATCCTTGGCGTGCTTGTTACCTTCCAGCAGGTGCCCTATACCTGTAGATACCCTGTACACATTGTTATATGGGAGCTGTTGACTGAGGAAAATTACTGCTTTAATATGATTGCACACCCTTAGCAAAATGAAAAGTGCAGCAATGTTGCGACCAAATTTGCTGCAAACTAAAAGTTTGCGGTAACTAGTTTGCAGGAGTTACCAAGAAAAATTTGTTTTGCTGCTGATTTGCAACCAATTTGCAATTACAACTAGAGTTTGCAGATGGTTTGCAAGAAAATCCTTTATGTTGTGGCAAATTTGCGACAAATTAGAAGCAAATTTGCAAGTTTGCAGTAAGTTTGCAAGAAAGTATTCAAGGTCTTGCAAATCTGCAACAAATTTGCTGCAAATTTACAGCAAATGAGCAGCAAATTTGCTGTATATTGGCAAGAATTTCTCGCAAATTTGCAGAAAATCTGTAGCAAATTTGCAGTGAATTTGCCAGATAGTTTGCGGCAAGTTTGATATTTTGCTAAGGGTAAAATAGTTCTGTTTCACTGGATGCAAAGACTGAAAAGTGAACAATTCATACTTATGTATCAAAGCTAAAATAACATCTGTAAATGTTGCATAAATCTTTTGTCACGTCATTACAGGAACTGTAATTATTGGTTACCACTGAAGCATTTGAAATGTATCAGTGAATGCTAAATATATGAAATCTTACGTTAATGACGCAATAATGGTTCATTGTTGGCATTTTGTCAATTTTCATCTAAGATGTTTTCAGATCCATGCAATATTATGATGCCCTTAAAACTGATATCAATTGTTTTTTACAAACTCGTTGTTAAGAGAAACATGTTTAAAGCATAAAATGTCCAATACAGTTTAGCAAAACAGGTAAAAGATAATTATATTCCATAAACTTTCATAATTGGGGATGTTTAAAAAACATATTTGCAAATATATTTCTTGAAATAATATGCAAGTCAAAATACTACTTTAAACGTTCATCATACAAAATGTTATAAAAATGTTAATACGTTGCAACGCCCCTGTACACTATGTATATAAGTCGATGAGAAAGTTTGTGCCGTTGCCTGCAGACAAAGTTTGCTCTCAGGAGAGTAGTCTTGTCTTCCAGTCACTTAGCCAGGTTGGTCAACTGTTTTATGTCATCTTCTAGACTTAGAATAATTTTCGGTAGGGTGTACTTGCCAGTTGCTTGTGTTATACTGGGTGAAATGTTTGGTATAAAATGTGATCAGCTCGGATAGATCAGCATCTTCCAGACAGTGTTTCCTAAGTTTTTGACCAAAGTAATGTTGCTTAAACCTACGACTGAGATCGTCTGAAGAACTGCGTCGATAAAGAGAGGTGCAAATGTATGACAGGTTTGGAAACCTTTTCAAAACCAACGTTCTATATTTTTGTGTTAAATCATATCCTTGCTCATTGCAAAGTAATTTAATCATGTTCATGTTTAATTTCTATGCTTCATTAAAACACATTCATTGCACTGGTTTGGGTGAAAGATCTGAACAGAAGAGTCTCCATTGTCTCAAAATCTGAGAGTAACATCAAGCGTTCAAAGTCATGACCTTAAACAACATTCTTCATTCCAGTTGCCTGAACATGGTCAGTTATCAGATCATCGTTGCCGTTGCTGTTCTGGGCAGTGTCTTGGCCGTGCCTCCACTTCCACCGCACTGGCCACCAAAACCTGCCCCTTCAGTGTACCGATACCGGTGGTCCGTGAACGGGCCGCGAGACGCATACTTCGTTCTCACAGAGGGTACGGTATCATTATATTATTTTAGTTCCACCGTACTTGCCCACAAAACCTGCATCTTCAGTGTACCGTTACCGGCTATCGGCGTATGCTGCATTGACACCAAGTTTGAAATTTTCATATCGGCATGTTCTATTATTCTCTTTTTGTAATCTTATTTTCATAAATTATTTCTCATATCTTCAATATATAATTTATTAAAGTATTGTTAGGCTACCACAAGGCTGTATTCATTTTATGAAATAACCAGTAAAACTCCCATGAAATTCTCATCGTCTTCCAGCTAACTATTATGTATGTTAATTACGGCATCTTCTTCTACTTTCAGCTCAAAAAGACGGTAAGTGGACCTTCCTTTTTGTGTTGATTTTTTAAATCATGTGTATCATATGGACACATACAGTCCAATAATAACACAGTTACATTTCTGAACCGTGCTGAAATAAAACGCTCCAGATTACTGTTATGTTAACACAATATCGTTTCATCAATATTTGAATAGGTTTACATCGTTCCTTAATAATAAGATTTTTGGTTATTTTACAATTCCATCGTTTGTTAAGAATAAGGCATCTTATTTTGTTGATACCCTTATCTTACTTTCCAGAAATCTGTAAGGAGTGCAAGCCCCTTGGAAGTGGTCTTGGAGGCTTCTTTGCTATTGAGGATGATCCAATCCACTACATTCGCTGTGTTCCTCTGGGTGACACTTGGCAGGTGCTCGTATTACACTGCTGTAATAACGCTCATCTTGGCGGTGGCAGCACGGAGTGGTATCAAGAAGATTTGACTTGTGTTCATAGTACACACCCGAATCCCTACCCCTGCGGTAAGTAATGTGCCTTTACTGTTGATTTATCCAGGACACAATGGACAAATGCCCCCTTTAGCTTCCTCCTTAGCTTCCCCAAGAGGTGATTATAATTCATTTCCCAGATCTGTATAACAATTTTAAATGTTTTAAAATCACGCAGGAAAAGCTCTGAATGCGACCGCATTATTGTTTCATTTTGTTTGTATCATTTTTTTTGTTGTTGTTGTTGTTGTTGTTGATTCATTCATTTTCCTTTTCTTTTAAAACTGGGCTGAAGTAAATGATTCAAAAAGTAAATTCTACAAGTATATCTTTCTTGTAATAAATCAGGAAACATAACAAGTTTGGGGGTTTGTATAACTTCCATATTCCTTTATTTGGTGTGCCTTCCATATATCTTCTGTTTTACTTTTCAGAGGACTTTGACGACTCTTCGTGGGGCTCTCACACTTTTCCTCCGCTAGTGAATAACCGTAAGTTCAAGCAAATGTTAAACAACCTGTCGTCATTTCGCTTATTATTATTATACCCCAGACACACTAGAGGGGGGAATAGCTAGAATATCGTCGGAACGAAAATTCCTTGTTTATTCCTGGATATTAGAAGTCCGTTCTAAAAAATCTGAGTGCATTTCCAATATATAAGCCCATTCTTGCGCCCGGTCCGAATGTTTTGCTCATGCTCAAACTTTCGAAGAGCATTCCAATAGTCTATAAGTAGAGCAATATCCAATGGCAGTTGAAGTGTATTTAAACTGTACTATGAGTGCATGGTCATTTTTTGTCCTTTAAGAACGATTTTAATCTTACCATCGGTTACATTCATTTATTATATCAAATCGCTCATATTCCATTCACCTATTTCCTAGCATTTTGGCCTCTGGTGTGGACCCCTCATTTGCCCTCCCTGGTTGAGGACAGAGACTATCCCTCTCCAGTCGCCCGCGTTTACACGGGGGTGTACACCTTCGCAGGTGGTCACGTGCAGAGGGGCTTCCGAACGAACGCTATAGGGAACACGGTACCGGCCATTGAATTCGACGGACAACAAGTCCCTTACCACGACACCGCGGAGGACTCTTACTCCCACATCGAGATCCCTTTCTTCCAGAACGCTGACTGGAGCCAGTACTTACCCGGGTTCACGATCACCCTTGGGTTCTGCGTGGACCCAGGTTCTCCACCAGACGCTGCCCTCATCACTAATGCTGACTGTAATTTCACCGCCTCCGTGGAGCTCACGCTTAGAGGTGGTAACACACTTGAAGCCATGATCCGTACACAATATCTCCCAGAGAATACTGTTGATCTGCCTTTGCCAGCACGGGTAAGCAAGTTAAACTATTCCTGAGGAATATTCTGTCACCTTTTTTAAAGTTTTCAAATTCCATCCACGCAAACATACATTCATAATGGAGTTAACATAACGTTTTTATGAAAAAAATATCTCTTTTGTTATTTCAGCCAAGTGGTTGTTACTTCGCTGGATTTTCCTACACACGTGCTACCAACCAGATGCTTTTGTGGTTGGATGATAATACTTCAGACATAGAAACAGCCTCTGGTTTGTTCGTTTTCTATCTAATCAGAATGTTCGCATCAAATTTATACAGATGTATTTGTTAATATATATTTTTTAATTTCACTGCTATTATTTCTGTCTGATCCGTTGTGCGTCTTTGCATGGTTTGAGAAACGGCCTTCTACACGCAAGTGATCCATTTCCAGTGCATCATTGTATTCTCGAAAGTGCTAGACTTTTTCCTTCTTCTTTCTTTTATCATTAAACAAGCGGGACAATTAAAATGAAATTATAATATTCAGGACCACCAAGGAAAATCAACCAAAATCCGCTATTCTTCGGATACAGTTGCTATGGTTACCCTGATACAGCGCCACCACGTGCTCTGGATGGAGCCCTGGCTGCAGTACGTCTCTCTCTTTCTCTCTCCCTCTCCCTCTCTCTCTCTCTCATTTATTTTGCTAAACGTTTCCAATGTTTCCTTTTTGATAATCCTTTAATTGCTGAAGTTTCATAACGTGAAATATGATCTGTAAAATTAAATAAGTTTTGTGCGGTATCATTAAAAAAACCCTAATGTTCAGCAATCAAAATGTTTGTAATTTTTTTTCTGCTCGTGAACTCTGAGTTTGTATTCTTCAGATTCATATCTGGGGTGACCGGGCAATGACCACAGCCGGAATGTACTTTGAATGTGTATTGGCTGGCTTCTGTGTATAGATGCACCGTGGCAAGACGGCGGCCAGATGAAGCCTCCTCGTTAGTTTAACAGTAGTTGTAGCTACGTTATTGTTTCAAATTTGATCCAAGACAAATTTGCTGTAAGATGATTCAATTTTGAATGTTGCAATAAATCCAAAAATTCAACTCATCAATTGTCTATTAATTGTGTTTGCTCCCAGTCTCTCTATCTCTCTCTGCCTCTCTCTCTCTTGTGCCTTATGCTTTTCTGTTATTTCTTGTCTCTTACTGTATCTCTCCTCATACTTTCTCAGCATACCTAGGGTCATGTATGATAAAGTGACAAGACAAGGCTATTCTCCGCGGTAAAATAACTGCTAGGGCTGTGGAGTTTGCCGCAGATAAAGAAAAAACACTTGAGTATGGTAGATTATTAATCAATACGCAAACCCAAAAATCAACCCATACAAACAAGATATCTGTGAAATCCATCTTCAGAACAAGAACAGATGATGCCAATACCTTTCTGGATAGTCCCCTGTCGATAGTCCCCTGTCTTACTAACTAGCAAACACAAATTTACTTTGACTTTTACTTTAAGACCTATTGAATATTCTTAATTAAGACGGGTGATACATAGTTGAGGAGTTAACGGGTGACTAGAAGGTCCTGTTCTCTTCTTTATGTTTACTTCTATTACTCACTCGAATATTTGCAGGTTGAATTGGTCCTGTATAATTGCTGTGAAACAAAATGTCAAATAAGGTTCTGTAGTGATAGGGTTTGCAAGTATCCACCAGTTTCTATGTACATACATGTACACAGATGTGTCTGTACATAAAGCCGTTCCCTGCGTCTGTCGTCGCCGTGCACTATTACCGATAACACGATAAGTGGAAAACCGTTTTACCTTTTGGTTTGAAACTTACAGAAGAGATAAAAATTCAAAATATGCAGGCCACGTTCGAAAATCTGCATGATCAGGCCATTTTTTATTGTTATGCTGTTTTTTTTTCACTTTTTCCATCATAAATGCAACACTGATGACACATTTCAAGGAAAATCAATAAGCCTTCTATCTTAAAACCTACAGGAGTGATTCATCTTACTAAACACAGGCGGAGTTTGAAAATCAACTTGATTGGACCATTTTTTCCAAAGGTTATGCTTTTTTGCCTTTTTTTTTTGGCATACCGTATATGCAACACTGATAACAGTTTCAAGGTAAAACGGTCAGCCTTGCAACTCCCAGGAGTGATCAATCTTATTAATATACAGATCAAGTTAGAAAATAAGCTTGATGGATTTAGTTTTGATTAAATTATGCCTTTTTTTGTATATAAGTATTTTTACCTCAGGTTTCATCTTAGGCATGTTAACGTACTAGCATTATTGAGCTAATTAGATAGACCCTACGTAGCAGTGTTCTTTTGACATTTTCTGCCTCTTTACAATATTCTTAGTTGATTATATAAAAATGATGGTAAATTTGTTATTGTGTATTGTGTAGTAAAGTGCCAACAATGGAAATAAACCCATATTATTGCAGTTTGTCAGATTCAATTATTCACTATGTTCAGAATCTCATAATGGAGCAATTGGACATATAAAATTGTTCTATCGATATTTTTCCTATGTAAACAATTTTCTTAGTTGATCATGTAAAAATGACAGTCAATTTATTATTATAATTATTATTATTATTATCTTTTTTTGATAATAAAAGTGTTGAAAATGGAAATAACTCAATTCGGTACAGTTATATCTTGTTTACATTTTGTCATCCTCAAGGTTTGACTCTGAATTTCCATGGCCCTGAAGACTTTTGCTAGTCACATTTTTTGATTATCCATGCCACTTTCATTTTATTATTCAAAATTGAGGGTATTTATGCTGTTCAGGATTATGTAATATTGCATCAAAATTGAAGAAAACCCTGTTCCTGACATTGCCTCCATAGTGACTTTTAAAGCAAAGCCATGTCACTTACTCTTTTCAAACTTACCGAAAAGTAGCATAGGACTAAAATGTAGATTTCTGGAAGTTATACAGTTTTTTTGTGATAATTTAATTTTTCACATATCGACATTTTCAAGGTGTGACTTTGAACTTCCATGAGCTATGAAGACCTTTGCTAGTCACATTTTCTGAATATCCATGATACTTTATCGAAAATTGATTGCCATTATGCTGTTAAGCATTATGTAATTTTGCATCAGAATTGAAGAAATCCCGATTTTGGGCCTCCATAGTGACCATTAAAGAAAAACCATGTCACTTACTCTTCCTAAACTTACAGGAAAGAAACACAAACTAAAATACAGCCCGAGTTGGAAAAGCAGGATTGACATACGGCTCAAATAAAAAACCAGCACTGTTGGATTATCATATTTTAAAGCATGAATGTAATTTTTGGTGATAATTTCATTTTTCTCATTCAGATATTTTATAAGTGTGAACTTGAACTCTCATGGGCCTGAAGCCTTATGTTTTTATCAGTATTACCTGTTGTGCATAATTAAAATTTGATGTTGAATTTGCATTTTAGCATAATGCATTATTGCATCAGAATTGACAATATCCTATTTTGTGCATTATTATTTTTCTGCTTTTTGCCTGTACATTTGACAGCTTTGCTGCCTTGTTTTTTTATTTATTTATCCAATATTGATAAAGACACCCTTCACATTTATACATTGACAATACCGGTTGCACCCAGTTTAAAAATTTTTATTCCTATTATTTTTCTGTTTTCCTTTTCTCACGTTAAAACGCGTAGCCGGTAAGAATGAATGTTTAATAAATACACCGATTACATAACGCCACGATCAAATGGACCAAGCACTTAACAGACAGGGATGAATAATTCAACGGAAAACCCCTGAAGTGCTAACTTAAAGGGTGACATAACTTATGTCTTAAGGCGTCATAAATACGGTGAATAATTAATTTTATGACTTAAAGTGCTTCTTCAGGTTGTTCGTACCCATGTATTTATGAAGTTGTTTGTCGGAATAATTTTACTAAGCGTCCTCCTGCTCATCTTTAATCATGATTATTTTTAAGTGCAATTTCATCTCCATAACATATTCATAGTGCAGTAATAGTGCCAACATTCATTAGGACATGATTCATGACAGGCAGGTTGTATGTATTATGCAGTCATACTCAATGATATATCGTGGATAACCAAGGAGACATCGCTCTCCCAGTCAAGTATTTTATTTTATTGAAGTGTTCTAATAATAGGGAAATCAGTGGTAAAGATTCGTGCCAAATTACATGAAGAAATCTACTTACCGCCATGTTGAAATGACAATTTTTGGGGGCTGAGATGAGTAAAGGAATTAGACTGATTGAAATGTTGCATACTATACTCCCAAGATTTTGATGTCTATCTAAATCACCTTTCTCAGGGAAAGAGGTAATATCACAGTATATCCTCTATCCATGACATGTGCTTGTTACCTTCGATCATCATAAAGGTGCCCTATACCTGTAGATACCCTGTTACACATAGTTATATTGGAGCTGTTGAATGAGGAAAATTACTGCTTTATCACCGCATAAAATAATTCTGATTTATTTAACGCGAAGACTGAAAAGTGAACAATTCATACTTATATACCAGAACTCATATACCACCATGTACAAATGTTGCATGAATCTTTCACCACGTGTGGAAAACACATCAACTGTAATTATTGGTTACCACTGAAGCATTGTAGGCTAAAGGTGTTAGTGGATTAAAGATATGAAATCTAATGTCTCATTCTTGGCATTTTGTCAATTTTCATCTAAGATGTTTTCAAGTTCATGAAAAATTATGGTGCCCTTTCAACTAATGTCAACTGTTTATTGCAAACTCGTCGTTAAGAGATACATGATTAAAGCATATAATGTCCAATACAGATTAGCATAACAGGTAAAAGATAATCATATTCCAAAAACTTTTATAAATGAGGATGTTTGAAATATATATTTGCAAATATCTTCCTTGAAATAATATGCAAGTCAAAATACCACTTAAACGTTCATCATAAAAAAAGTGATTTATACGTTTCAACGCCCTGTACAATGTCCATATAAGTCGAAGAGAAAGTCTGCGTCGTTGCCTGCGGACAAAGTTTGCTCTCAGGAGAGTAGTCTTGTCTTCCAGTCACTTAGCCAGGTAGGTCAACTGTTTTGTCATCTTCTAGACTTGGAAGTTTCGATGGCTCGTGTTATAGATATTTGATTTAAAATGGATAGTTCGGGTAGTTCAGCATCTGTATGTTTGCGTTTTCGAGCAAAGCAGTGTTGCTTAAACTCCGGAGAGAGATGGTCCGACGGACAGCGGCGATATAGAGAAGTGGGTCTTTAATATAAGAATTCTCCGTATAATCACCTCTCCCTTGCAAAGTATATAACTCACTAGTTATTACAAACAGCTTCATTAAAAACAAATTTATTGCTGTTGGTTAACAAAAAAAATGACCAGGAGAGTTCATTGTGTCAAAAATAAAGGATAAACAATACAAGGTCGGATTTGCCAATTATAATTAAAACAACCGCTTTTCATTTCAGTTGCCTTAACATGGTCAGTTACCAGATCATCGTTGCCGTAGCCGTTCTGGGCAGTGTCTTGGCCGTGCCTCCGCTTGCACCGTACTGGCCCCCAAAACCCGCCCCTTCAGTGTATTCTTACCGGTGGTCCGTGAACCCGCCAGCATTTCTTTACAATGCTCTGACACCAGGTGTGGTATTATGATATCAGCTTGTTCTGGCATTCGCTTTGTAATCTTTTTTATTTATCTTGTTTTTTCATATTCACCAGATATATTTCACTGAAGTATCGTTAGGTCATGGCAACATATTTGTTCTTGTTTTATTGAAGAGAAGACTGTAAGGAAACCTTAAAAACTAATCTAGGTTACTGTCACGTGATATACTCATCGTCTGCCAGCTAAGTTTTATATATATTAATCGCGGCATCTTTTCTACTTTCAGCTCAAAAAGACGGTAAGTGGTCTTTCTTTTTTGAGTTAATATATCATGTTTATCATGTAGACATTGTGCAATAGTTAAACAGACGCATATTAACCCTGTTATATGTCAACACATTACCATTTCCACAATGTGAATTTGAATAGATTTACATCCTTTTTGCAGGATAAGAAATATTATTTGATTATATTACACTTTCATCTTTTCTCAAGAATAGGGATATTATTTATCGATTCCCTTATCTTACTTTCCAGAAATCTGCAAGGAGTGTAAGCCTCTTGGCAGTGGCCTTGGCGGCTTCTTTGCTGTCCATACTGACCCAGTCCACTATATTCGCTGTGTTCCGCAGGGTGACACTTGGCAAGTGTTTGTATTACACTGTTGTAATAACACCAATCATGGCGGCGGCAGCACTGTGTGGGACCAAGAAAATTTGAATTGTGTTCACAACGATCTTATTCCCAATCCCTATCCATGCGGTAAGTAATGTGCTTTGTAGTTACAAACATGTACCGAAGATTAATCCAAGGCAAATGTCTCACACCATCGCCTATTCTATAAATGTCTATGGTGTAGGGCGAGGCGAAAATATTGTTTACACTTGTGCTCCTCATTTACTCTTTCTCTTCCTCCCCCCCCCCCCCCAGCCTTTTCAGCCAAAGATTGGATTTCCTAGTGAGCCATGCGTTCAGTGTCCGGCTGTACTAGAACTATGAATCTTTTAGTCAATTTCCATTTTAAATTTGAAAGGACAGTCCCCGGTTTGATAAGTGCTTACTAATGACAGATTGAAGAAACTGGATCTGAACCGAAGATTACTTGACTACAGAGCAGAGCGCTTTTGCATTCGATGTTTAGCCTCTTAAAACAGACTAGTTGTTACACAGTCGTATGTCAACGTTAAGGGAAATGGAGTGGGTTGAGCAGGCGATTAAAAAATTTGCATCTATAGGTCCATCAAAATTCTCATATGTATACTTTCCACAAATAATCCTGTTAAGAAAAAGGGACGTTGGTAAAATAACAGGCAATATTGATGAAAATCACGTAAATGTTATATCTTTCAGAGGGTTTTACTGATTGGCCTACCCACACCGTACCGCATGTTCGTAAGTATCTACATAGTAAATATAGAGGGTTTTACTGATTGGCCTACGAGAGTAAGCTTTATTTGTTCAAACTGGTGTGTCACTGATCATTTTATATTATTATTCTTAGTCGCTTTTACTTTTACGCTGCATTTCATTACATGAGCACTGAAACCCGCAGTTTTTGGCGCATATAGTAGTCTTTAGCACTTCAACTCTGAGTGGAATCTAGCGTCAAATCCCGTGATGATTTCGTACTTAAAAAACCGATTTTGTTAGTTTAGAGTTATTGTATATATATAAATCAAATCACTCATATTCCATTCACCTATTTCCTAGCATTTTGGCCTCTGGTGTGGACCCCTCATTTGCCCTCTCTGGTAGAGGACAGAGACTATCCCACCGGTGCCGTCGCCCGCGTTTATACGGGGGTGTACACATTCGCTGGTGGGCACGTGATGATGGGCTCTCGAACGAACGCTATAGGGAACGCGGTACCGACCATTGAATTTGACGGACAACAAGTCCCTTACCACGACACCGCGGAGAACTCCCACTCCCACATCGAGATCCCATTCTTCCAGAACGCTGACTGGAGCCAGTACTTGCCCGGGTTCACGATCACCCTGGGGTTCTGCGTGGACCCAGGTTCTCCAGCAGACGCTGCTCTCATCACAAATGCTGACTGTAATTTCACCGCCTCCGTGGAGCTCACGCTTAGAGGTGGTAACACGCTCGAGGCTATGATCCGCACTCAAGGTGGCCCCGAGGATAAAATTGCTCTGCCTTTACCAGCACCGCGGGTAAGCCAGTAAAACTACTATACTGAGGAATATCCTGTCATCTTTTAAAATTTTTTAAAACATTGCAACATTTTCTATCAAATCAAATTCCATCCAAGCACATAGATAGTCAAATTTGGGGTTAACATAACTTTTTTATGAAAAAACATCTATTTTGTGATTTCAGCCAAGTGGTTGTTACTTTGCCGGATTTTCCTACACACGTGCTACCAACCAGATGCTTTTATGGTTGGATGATGATACTTCCATACCAGGAATAGCCTCTGGTTTGCTCTTTTTCTATTTTATCAGACTGTTTCGTATCACATTTAGAGATTGTTTATATAAATAATATTTTATCATTGCAATTATTTTTGTCTGGTCAGTTGTGCCTCTTTTCAAGGTTTGAGAAACGATTTTCTTTACAGGACATCATTTCATTGTCCAAGACTTGTTTTTCTTTTCCTTTTTATTGTTATCAGCAAGAGCATGGGAATTTAAAGCGAAATCTATTTTACAGGACCACCGAGAAAAATCAACCAAAATCCGCTATTCTTCGGATACAGTTGCTATGGTTACCCTGATACAGCCCCACCTCGTGCTCTGGATGGAGCCCTGGCTGCAGTACGTCTCTCTCTCTCTCTTATATATATTTGGCTAAAAGCTTCTAATGTTTCCTTTTTGATAATCATTTTATTGCTGAACTTTCAAACACAAAATTTGATCTGTGTTGGAAAAATGTTGGAAATTTTTTTCTGCTCGTGAACTCTGAGCTTGTATTCTTCAGATTCATATCTGGGGTGACCGGGCAATGACCACAGCCGGAATGAAAAGTGAGTGTGTAGCGGCTGACTTCTGTATACCATAGGTGCACCATGGCAAGACGGCGTTCTGATGAAGCCTTCAACAGTAGCTTTAGCTACGTTATTGTTTCAAATTTGATCCGAGACAAATTTCCTGTAAGATGATTCAATTTTAAATGTCTTAATAAATCCTAAATTTCAACTCAACCCAACAATTGTATTTTAATTGTGTTTGCTTCTAGTCTCTCTCTCTCTCTCTCTCTCTCTCTCTCTCTTGTGCGTTAGGTATTTCTGTTATTTCTTGTCTCTTAATGTTTCTCTCCTCATACTTTCTCAGCATACCTGAGGTCATGTATACGATAATGTGACAAAACAAGGCTATTCCTCGCGGTCAAATAACTGCTAGGGCTATGGAGTTTGCCGCTGATAAAAAAAAGAAATACTTGTGTATGGTAGATTAGTAATCAATACGCGAACCTAAAAATCAACCCATACAAACAAGATATCTGTGAAAGCCATCTTTAGAACCAAAACAGATGATGCCAGTATCTTACTGGGTAGTCCCCTGTCCGCTCGTTAACTTACTAGCTAACACAAATTTACTTTGACTATCACTTTAAGCCCTAATTATTATTCTTAATAAAAGGCGGTCTCTCTCTCTCTCTCTCTCTCTCTCTCTCTCTCTCTATATATATATATATATATATATATATATATATATATATCGTTAAACAGGTGACTAGAGGTCCCTGACAACCTCTGTAAGGGAGGGGACTGTACACAAATAGGGCTAAAAATGGATAAAATCAACAGTAAATCTTAAGATAAAAATCCCTGAACCCCTTTTTAGTACTTTGCTCAGGTGTTATAATAACATTAAACGCATGTTTATAGCTGTCCAGGTGCCTGAGAAAATCAGGAAACCAAAAATGATGTTTTGTCCCAGAAATCCCAATATTACATCACACGACGAATTTGGAGCTGTGTTTCGAGCATTATTAGATGTTTTGAAGATACATTAAATGAATGCAACAGGGATAAAAAAGCAAAGACCTTTAATTTAAAATAAAATCTCCAACCTGCAGTCCTCCCTTTAGTCAAGTGTACACTTAAATTCACTTGAATATTGCATCTCGGTTTTAGACTTCAGCCATAGATAACCAACTTCTACTTCTATACATAAGTTTTACAACCTAACACGTTATTTACTTTTTGATCAGCAATTTGAAATCCGCTCCCTATACTCCCGTACATGTATGTGGTCTTCAGCATACACTTTTATTTGAACGTTGATTCTCTTAAAAAAAATTAAAGAAAAAATAAGATCAAGACAAAAAGATAAAAATCATTATATATTATATATCGCGTTGTTGGGATCACGAGCCACCTATTAACTTGCACTATTTAATTATGAGCGGTTGTAGTGGGCACCTGGCCATCGGCAAATACCAAAGAATCGGTCGAATTCACAGCACATAACAAGTTCAGTCCTTTCCTCAACCAATGTTGTCTTTGGCTTTTATCGCCTATCATTTCAATGTTCACGATTTAACAAATTTTTGCCAATCTTGATTTGGCTTAAAATTTAAAAAATCGTCTTTTGAAGAAGATAGTGGAAACAAGATCTATTCATTTCAATTTTTCACTTTAAATCACATGAGGTGCCGAGATTGATTCCAAGGTTTTTTCCTAGCTGTTCCATCTTCAGAGTGCAGAACTTGACAGTCCAAAGCCACGCTTCAACTTCATGTGCACCTAAACTGTAGTGGCTCTCAGTAAATGCCACAGATGTATTAAATTAACTAAAAACAATCAGCGTTTTCCATTAATGACCCAAATGCCACTTCACGCGATAACCCGCTCCATCCAACTGACACGCAGAAAGGCGTCCACGAACGCACCCAAACGCGCGATCACCTGCGGCACCTGGGCGATAGAACAATTCAAAAACACATTGTACTGTGTGATGACGGCAAGGTGTAACACGCCATTGATTAGCCCAGCACGGCCGTGCCACCAACACGATATGCTCGATTAATAATAAATCACGGATCTCCCAACACAGAATATCATTGTTAATAAGGGACGGTAACTGAGCACCACCTCAGCAACAGGAACAAGGAACTTGAAGAATGAATTTTTTAAAGACTGCCGTTTTTCTGTGAGGCGCACATCAGGCGGGGGTGACGTACTGCGAATCGCTATTGCGGAGTAATAACGCAATACGGTTCACCGTTCTAACGTAAGCTTGGCGCGTGGAGTGACGTACCAAGTGATTTTTGCCCTAATCCCCCAGGCTCTAACAAAGAACATGAATCATATCCCTGAAGTGAAAGCCTCTAGTGTCTAGGCAAGGTAGGCCGAAATTAACTTTTTATCTTATTGGGCACATGGGTAATATAAACCAATTGCAATTGGTCTAAAGCACATTAATATGTCATTTTACCTTTGATTTACTTTTCGCCTGAATGGTCAGTTTTGGTGTAAAGATTTTCCAATTCGGTCTACAGTAGGCAAAAATATATGTGGAGAGCAGCACGGTGTACTGAGTTTCAGCGTTATGGTTTCAATTGGATGTTTTCTTTGAGTTTTGCCATTCAGTATGGAAGCGAGCACAGCAGGTGCCCGGTAAGTATGGGGTACTACAGGGTGACTTGTCTTCAGGAGTATATGACCCCGGGCAGATAGGGTGTTTATGATGTTTATGTGTGGAGCTTAATTATTGGCATTTGTGAAGCAGTTTTGTGACAAAGGTCTAGACGCCATTATAACCTCTGCTTATGTATTTCTTAAATTTGTATTGAGGGCAAGGGTGCAGCCATTGTACCAAAGAAATCGTGGTTTTGGATTAATTTAAAACATCATTTTGCTTGAAAATTAACATGTCCGCGAAGTAGGCCCCTGTAAACTACATTAGTTGTAAATAGACGTAGAGAGAAAAGACAGAATACTGTTTAGAACTTTTGAAATTTTGGTTTAGCGAACGCACTTATCTTTTAAAGTTACAGGTAAAGTTGACGTTTTGGCTTTCAATACTGACAAGAAAGAGAATTATTTGTATTGGTAACTTAACCACAAATTGATAGTAAATTTATGAACAGGGAAATGTAACAAATGTATGCTTTTGCTTTATTCCTGTCTAAATACCTGTAGCTTTCAGAAGTTCTTTTAATGAGATGCTAAAATTTTCATCGAAAGACTGGTTCCTGGGGCATTACAGGGGCACATGTCAACTTCGGACCTTACATAGTGCACTTTGCATAAAGTTTTGGTTAGGACAGAATAAGCACGTTTTGACGTTGACGTCTTCTTGGTTTCTAGTGTCCGTATGATAATAACGTTGTTTGAAGTGGGCTCGTTACATGCCAACACACAATAATGTACATAAGTCACATAAGAGATGTGCAAAAATAAACAGTACCGTCGATGCATAGTATCTGTAGCACGTTAATCACACCTGTTTTTAAACAGAGGACACGCAAAAATGTATACTGTGTGTAGCCTGCAAGGCGGGCCATGTTTAATGCAATGTAGGCGTGTTGGCGTGAGGGGGGGGGGGGGGGGGTTGTCCGAATAAAATGGCACCATGGATTGGGGCTACTTATCTGATGCACGTAAACCATCGATTTTCAGTGTCTCGCTCTACTTTAAACTATTTCACATACAGTGTATGAAAATCTCCAGGAAGTAGAATATGGTTTATTTGCATGTTCTTAGTGAGTCGGCGTTAGAGTGTACGATGAAAAGCTAAATGTACTGACAGTAAAAAAATGAAAAACGTTGCTGTTCCTGTAAACGTTCAACTATTATTTTGAATGTGATCAAGAACTAAAATTAATATACGTATATGTTTACAGAGAAAGATTCAAGGAAAACCGTGCTTTTTAATTTATTCTCCATTGAATGAGACATTTTAAAACCATATTTCCCTACATTTGCAGCATGTCCTATTTCTTGGAGGTGCTTGGGAAAACCGTCAAGGGATTTCGAAACGACGATGATTTTTTCGATCGCTTAAGCCATCGCTACACCTCCATTTTCCTGATCATTTTTGCTCTGGTGGTCAGCACGAAACAGTACGTGGGGGACCCCATCTCGTGCTGGACGCCGTCCCATTTTTCTAAAACCCAGGACGATTACACCAACAGTTACTGCTGGATAAAGAACACGTATCACAAGCCAATGGACGAGAGGGTACCGGAGAAGTGGGAAGGACGATCCTACATTGGTTATTACCAGTGGGTTCCTATAGTCCTCTTCATACAGGCTCTAATGTTCTACCTCCCCTGCTTAGTGTGGAGGATCCTTAACAGTAGGGTGGGGATTGACGTAGACGCCATCGTACGCTGCGTCAGCGTTGCGGAAAACGTCAACCCGGACGCAAGGCGGGTTACTATACGTTACGTGACACGTCACATGGACAGGTATCTATGGTACCACAAACATGACGTCAAAGGGTGTGCCTCGTTGTGGAGACGCTGCTGCACGTGCTTCTTGTGTGGAAAACGTCATGGGAATTACCTCACTATAGCATATCTAGTCACAAAGTGTTTATACCTGGCTAATTCTATAGGACAACTATTTCTACTTAATTCTTTCTTAGGAACTTCGTACTACCTATACGGTATTAATGTGTTATCCGACATGATCCAGGGGCGAGACTGGTCCCCGTCATCAAACTTCCCACGAGTTACTCTGTGTGACTTTGAAATTCGATTTCTTGGCGGGGTTAGCAATATACACCGCCACACCGTGCAGTGCGTTCTACCTATCAATTTGTTCAACGAAAAAATCTATATTTTCATCTGGTTCTGGTTGGCATTCGTTACCTTGGCAACCGTCTTTGGGATAGTCACATGGGTACGACTTCTTTTCCCAGCTGATCGAAGGAAGTACATCAAAAAATATCTGAAGCTCACGGGACAGATACATTCTAATACAGATTCTGGACTAGTAAAAGTTTTTGTGTATCAGTACCTCAGGCAAGACGGGGTGTTTATCCTCAAGTTGTTAGCAAGAAATACTAATTATCTCATAGTTGCTGAAATAGTAGAAGAATTATGGGAAACTCACAGTGAAAAGCAAAGAACACAACTTTCTGCAAGGTCTATAGAGGGAAATGTATAGCATATGATAGATAACAAATTCTAAGTGTATAAATATGTACATATAAAGAATTTGTTAATGATCCCAACTGACACCGTCTTCGCTATCCAGTTCATGCATCTCTGCTTACCTGAAGTATTTTTCAATTTCTTACTATGCAACTAAAAAAGTTTTAATGGAAATGACAGAAGTAACGAACGCTCAACGTAGGTAAAATGTCCCAGTGTTGTTTGAACCAAAAAGAAAATAAGTTCTTTCATAAAACGACCAAACGTCGATCACTTGAATAAATATCTGATAAACAAGAGAAATCGACACTGCCATTACATGCGAGTCTGGCATCAGAAGAGGGAAAGTAACAAATTTATCGGAGAGCCCACTTTGGACGAAAGGGCCTAAAAAGACTAAAATATATTCTTGACTATACGGAGAATATTTGAGATGTCGGCATCACCTTTATTTTAGTAAATTAACTTGATTATTAGCTTTCCCAACCGTGATGTCCCTGCCTCTGACGGCTATTATTAAAAAACAAGCGCATTTGCTGACTAAGTTTGACTTCGACTGAATGCCTTTTTCTCCCTACGATATAATCAAGTATACAATGCGTGCGAAGTAAAAGAGATACCAGTACAAAGGTTAAGATAAAATCAATAGATTCATATTATTAAAAAGTGTTGATTGCGGGTGGATGTACTTTAAAAAATTTACAGACGGGTCCAAAAAAAAAAAAAAACAGAGACAGACAAGCAGACAGGCATACTGGCAAAAAGTCAAACAGACGAACAGGCAGACAGGCAGACAGACAGACAGACAGACGAGTAAGTTAAGTGGATGTTAAACGAAATTTATTCCAGGTACACAGACAGTCAAAAGACTTACAAACGTGCATTCTGAAAATGGATAGTTTTAATTCATTGCAGGAATAAAAGATGCACAAAAAAAGGGCAAGAGAGAAAAATAGCAGGAAACATCCGCTTAAAAGCAATGTCATGATTGTGAAAGTGCGTGCATCTGCGCCCCATCTCATAGGCCATAGTATCAATAATTAAGCGATAGTTTTGCTTGGGCAGATCAATATTCTTTCAGATAAAAAGTCACGGTAAATTTGACATAGCTGTTAATCAGCATGGTAATTGATTTATACGCAGCATGGTTCAAAAGTCAGATAAAAAACAGACGATAAAACATGAAGATAATTTTCAGCCTTCTCACTTCAACAACACTCCATCTCGAACACGAAATCATTGTCTCTTGTTAATCTTGTCCATTGCTTTAGATGTACTTTCCAATGTGCCAGGTGTTCTGTGAATGCTATATCTTCTGCAGCTGCCATGTCCCGTAGATTGCGTCAGAGAAGAGGTACTGGAGGTAGTCGTCGCACGTTCAGGTTTACCTGCAGCTGTTGCAATAGAAATCATGTATATGAAGAAATAGGGACCGACTGCCTTAGATCTTATAGATTCTACCTTTTTTCATGACCAAACGTTTTTCATGTTCATTGGACACCTTCACCAACCTTAGGCAACGCCTGGGTGACGTACATGCAGTAAAAACATTTTAATTCAAACGCCATACAGTATACAGTACACTTCACCATACCCACACCCATTCCCTTTTATAATATTCCCATAATACCAGAGTTAAGCTGTCAGTAAAAGTAGTTTTGAGAAATATTTAATAATTACTGGAACAGTATACGGGGGTATTGCTATAAAGTGACGGTTTCTCGCAGGTAGGACTAACGGATAAACACGGAATTGAAAAGAATCTGAAAGGTTACAGCAGGGAGGTTTCGTGTTCAACATTAGCAGTTACCAAGAAAGATGCTAAATATGCGATTTACTTTGATGGTGAGGTGGAAGAGAAAGGTGGGACACGGTGGGATATCCTTTTGGAATAAAAATTCCTACAAAACATCTTAAAAGTCACGTTTATAGCCCAAAATATTTCAAGACCGAAAGACGGTCCCAAATGTAAGATCTGGTATAATTTTGGTAAAGATAAATTCGTATCGCACTTAGATATCTGAAACATTTTCCATTTCTTTCCATTTATAATACGGGTTCCACTGTTTTATCTTCCGTCAAAAAGATTAAAAATATTGCCCTACAGTTAAGACGAATTTTCGGTCTTTTAAGAGTCTCGGTCTTTTCGAAGTTCTTATGTGAAAATATCCCCAGACTTTCGACCTGCTATCAACCCCTACCACACTCAAACCGTCATAAACAGTTTGAGTGCCTTTTTATTCAATGAAAATAAATTTCTGGTACATGTAATTTATTTTACTATCTGGCACTTTAAAGGAAAAACTAATTCCAGGGTAATTAATGTTATCAACAAGACATCAAAGAAGTGCAATTGTTTGGATGTTGATAGAAATGATAATGCACCAAGCCGTGGACGAAGAGCACAAACTAAACAACACTGAATTTCTATTGCTTTCTACTCTGCAATCCACGTGCTTCAACTTCACTTGTCTCCATTAACATAAATGACACGACTCCCGCCGTTTTTCACTGTCAGTTTGTTAAGTAATTCGCGTCTTTTACAACAATTAACTTGGGAAGTACAAAAGCTGGCCCGCAGCAATAAAACCATTCCACAGTACAGAATAAGAAGGTAGGGGGAAAGTGAATCGGCATTTACCTGAAAGATTTATGCCTGCCACGGGTAATTAATAACACCTTTACGCCCAAACTAAATCCCTCACAGGTCTCACAGCGCTGATATTTTTACTCATTCACCAGTTAATGTCAAAGTCGCGTTCACAACATTACTGGTGTCTTCGACCCGATGTATTAAAAGCAGTGTGTGTGTGTGTGTGTGTGCGTGTGTGTGTGTGTGCTGGTTTAAGCACTTGTGAGTGGTTGCGTTCGTTCGTAAAACAGACAGTCACATAATTATTTTAATTGCCGACTTTAACATTTCATTTTATCGATCTCGAATGAGTGTACTCAGTGACAACTTCACGTGTTTTCACCTTAAACAACAGGAGCGTTAAGTGGCTGTTAAGTCGCTCCAACAAAGTTTATATTCTATTCCACGATATACGGTAACACCACTCGATATCTTTATCAAAACCAAACACCTTGATAAACTATTGGCTTCATATCTTTCATGGGGCATGTAATTTTCAACGGCATTTAGTCAAGTTATGAATGGCTTCATTCATGATTTCTTTTAATTTAAATCACAAGTCGATCTTTAATCCTCAACAAATGGCCAATGGTTTCAAAATTGTTTTAGTCATGCTTTATCATGTCTAAGCGGTTTTCGGTTTATCCTTTAACGCTTAAAATATATATAAATATTTACCGGTTGCTATGATGGTTCAGTTTTTGCAGATTATGTATGATTGTAATTCAGGTATGTTTGTTTTCACTGACGAAGCACGACTCCATGCTGCATGTACACGTATTCGGAAGAGATTCAAACCGGACAAAAATTACAAAAACAAAATTAGTTCCTAGAGACCTGTCTTCCTAGTATGCAGGGCTGGGATGAGAGAGTAGTCCAGTGAAACTAGCCTGGTACTTTTCCAAACAAATCCATATTATATATCTATTTCCCGTTCCTCTCTGCTCTCGTATTTTTGAAGCGTCACCTCCTTGGGGTTTCGTCAGCGTTTCAGATGGCGAGCAGACGATACTGATACGGGTATATATATAGGTCAAATTGCAACGATGATAATGACGTAACTACAGATATCATCAAAACACCAAGTGGAATCAGAGTCTGACGACGTATCATTTTAAGAATATACCAAGATCGACCCACTATGAAGATGGCAGATGTCGCCATGATAAACTGACACACCAGGAGTTAATATTTGGCAAAAAACAAAGAAGGATTTGTAAGAGCCTGTCTCTTCCTTATCGGTTTTCAGACAGCAGAGGGGCATGCTGAAAGATGGCTTACATATATGTGAGGTTTCCTTTTCTCCTGTGCAGGCAGGTTATATACCTATACACGTTGATTGGCGGCTGGTTTCCTCAGCTGTTAGCTAGCGTAGTAACAACACTAAACACACCTGGCAATGGAACGGACTCCACTACAACAGGTAAAGTGTGTTTCAATAGATTTTGTGAAGTTTTTAAAATTTTTTGTCCACTCCGACTAACACATCGACTGTCTTAACGTACGTATGTACCAGAGAACCTGCTCTATGCTCAGTAAGAGTTAAAAAAAAAGACAAAGGTGGAACGTGAAAGAAAACTTATCTTATGTCTAACACGACTCTAGATTTAACCTTTGCAGATGCAGCTTGCTAATTTTACTTCTTACTCCTATTACCCGACATGCTATGCCAGAATGTAAATCGGAAAAGATTTTCATCAGCTGTGTTATGCACTAAGAAAAAGCAATGTTTTTTCGGCAAAGTGCCAGTGTTAAAATTGTGGTCTCTACCTCTAACTAAGACCCAAACTTTTCAATATTTGGATGTCTCCCTAGAGCATCTCCATCAGCTACTGGTGTGTGTGTGTGTGTGTGTGTGTGTGTGTATGTGTGTGTGTGTGTGTTGGGAGGTCGGCCCATGTATTAATTAAAACCCACTTCATCAAAGTAACACGATTGAGTAGCCTACTGTGTCCCCGAGGACGAGTCTTTTGACGACGCCCCTTGCTGCAGGACATAATGTACATGTAGATACATACAGCTACACTGTATAGATAGGTGTCTCGCTGAAGTTATGTACGGTGTCTAGGTATCTTTATGATGAGGATCCATCTAGCAATTGATTGTAAAGAAGTTTTGTTAAGTTGGTCGTGCCTCGCTTCTCGTTTTGGACTAAAGAAAAACCCCATCAGTTCAGACAAAGAGCAGAGCTCAATTCAAAAAGTAAAAGGATGGGGGGGGGGTTGCTTTTTGGTCAACAAGTGACCCCCCACTGGCTGCAAGTCCAAAAGAAAAAAAATGTTTCGCCCTTGTGATAATAGTAGTTCAAACAAGGTGGCGCTCCTTGTAAGCCTTTCTTGGAATTTATACAGGTGTCATGCTTGTGTTCAACTGAATGATTCAACAAAGGTTTCTCATTTTTGCAAATACAGCGCTACTGACTGTGGTGATAATGTAACGAAGTTTATCTAAATATAACAGTAACTGGTGTCGGATATAACTGAATAAAAAACACCTCGTTTTCATGTTTTCATAGGTAGTGTAGATGAGGCGACAAAAGTCGTTTTTTGATCTGCCCCCCCCCCCCCCCTCCTTACTCTGAGTAAGGTTGAATTAGATTTCTTCAAAAATGGTACATGAAGAGCTATATACAGCACCATTGTCCGTTTTTTGTTGTTTTTTTTTTTTTTTGTTTTTTTTTTAGTGGCAGTTGTGACGGCGTATAACGGGTTATGAAGGCTTGCCATTATTGTTTTAAATTTTTTTCAGACCTCACAATAATCTGAATATTATCTACAGTAGGTTTATAATTCAGCCATTTTGTTCTAATTCAACGACCCCAGTTGTAAATTGGTAATGCTGTACATGTCAGTTTCACTGTGGAAAATGTCTTCTTCGTTGATAATAGAAGAGAAACATTTTTATTGTTGTTAAAAGAAACCAATACTGGCTACTGTACATGTATTGTGTTGGTAAGCATCCGCTTTTTGATCATGACGCGTGATTCGGTTCTATACCCAGGGGCGGACCCAGAGATATTTTCTGAACTTTTTTGATATATCCTTCACTTTTTGACAGTCTTCCAACAGAAAATATTAGATGCCCGTTAATGTAAAATTGAGAAATTCTGACCGTCTTCCGAAAGACCCAGAAGACGGCCTCCATCTGCCTCTGTATACCCCCTCCATCTTCCCATGCTGAGTTCCATACAACCCAGAGCATTCATAATTCACTATGCTTTATGATATATGAGTTTTGTTCTCCTATACATCTTCTTGGTCGCTATCAGAATGTTGGTACAGGTTAACTGAAGAGGTTATCTATACCTGATAGCAGCAAACAGTGAGGACTCTGTCCCGTAACCTTGGGATGATAAGATTACACAGAAAAAAAGCGTGGCAGCAGCAATGTGGAACCAACGACCTAGATGGGTCACCATGGATAACGGACAATGGACACATAGGGCTCATTCCGGATGAAACTCCGCGGGGACTCTAGCTGAATGCAATCAGATTAACAGATTATCACGCCTCCTCTTGTTCCCAAAGTACTCGTATAATCACCAGCTTTTCTGTATTCGATTTAACGCCAGGGGTAGGCGTGTTGATCTGCTTATGTGGTTGCATTCAGCGAGAGTCCCCGTGTAGTTGGACCGATCTACGTAAAACGATAGCTTTATTAGGAATGAGCCCATAAGTTCACTGTTGATCAGACTCGTTTGAAATTCCTCCAGATTTATCCTGATGATAAGGACTGGTCCTGTAGGACTGATCGTGAACCACCTAGAAGTGGATAGGGAACTCTGTCACCATAAACCCTCTGCCGGCGGGTCCGCTACGACTAAGATTTATACACAGTTGAACTCATGGTTGCCAAATATACGAATTTAATCCGTGGTAATCCTCAAATAGTTGTGTTCTGTTTTTGTTAAGAACCTGTTAAATAATATATTTTATCATCCTTGGTACCATAATTTTGGCAACCCTGCCGCATGCAATATCATGGTAGACACTGACATGTTTTTCTCAGCCTCTCCTCCTACTCTCGTTCGGTATCTTGACGCCACGGCGATCACATTCCTCTCGCTTGTGAAGTTCCACGAACTTGATTTTTTGCCAGACTTTCAGCAGAAATGTTTCCTTCACATTCCCAAGCGATGAAAGCTGCACCACCAACTGCAGCAAACATTTAAATGTTCTCCGGAAAAATATAAGATGCTAGGAAGCTGTTCACTCGGTTCACCTCCGATCCTCAGCGATCTGGATGTTTGGCGACGCAATTCAGACCGATTACCGGTCTTGAATTGCACTTGTCCGAACGCAGCTCCTACATATACGCGACTACGTTCAGTGTTGTTTAAATATAATCCGTTTCAGATTAATTCCAGACAGAAAACGGTATGTAAACTACTCCATGCACCATATGAAGGGGTCATCCCTAAGACTGGGTTCCCATGCCTAGATCGATCTAACAGGATCGATCCATCTCCAAAGGGTTTTTCGCTAAATTTCTTTCAGCTTAAGCGGCTTAGATGTCTGACGCGCCTGCTGACGCTGCTAAACGATAATTAATTACCCCCTAGCAGCTTCAGTAGGCGTGGCAAACATCTAAGCCGCTTAGTTTTTATATAGCGAGAATCTCCTTGGAAATAGATCGATCCAAAGTTAGTACGATAGGGTCTGGGAATGGTTCCTAAACGTCCTCTGCTGCTAACATAAACTTGAGACGAGAAGCCTTTGTATGGATTATAAAGAGTGTTTATCACATTTGCTTTGGTATTTTACAGATTCTGATGCCTCCTTGCTCAACACAGTTACAAGATTATCCTCGACAAAGTCAACAGACTCTATATCCAGTAATTCCGTGAGTTTAGACAATGGAGCCCAAATGAAAGAGAATGGACCGTGGTTCCTCAACCCGACGCAAATCACACTGATTGCGATAGGAGTGACATTCTTCATTGTGATTCTGGTTGTGATGGGCAGTCTGTTCACACACTGGCAGAGAAGACGGAACGCCCACCGTATCCGACACTGTGATCAGCCAAAGGTATTCGCTCCTAGAAAACGACGACACCAACGGCCGTCACCTCCTGGGCCTCCACGGAGAGCGCGCCCAGCGAGCACTGCCTCTGCTGCGGCAAGCACTGCCTCTGCTTCCTGAGGGAATGAACTGTGGTTTTTCCATTTTGTACAAAGGACTGGTCTTAATTTTTTTTTTTTTTTATCATTGCTAAGTTGTATTAAAATCATTTCGCTTTTAACATTTAAATGTATAGTGCTCTCAGCCGTTTTAAAAGAGTTTAAGTTTTGGTTTTAGTGCCTGATTTTATGAGTTTGTTTCCCTGATGACACTGTTCAAATAAGCCTTAACAGAATTCTATAATGATAAACGTGTCAGATGTTGGCGCTTTGTGCCATGCTTATGAATCAATTATATGAAACAAGAGTTGTATGTAATTTATTAATCATTTTTGAAGACAAGGGTGATGAAATATATATTGATGGTGCTTCTGATACTTTTCGCCTCTCCAGTTGGGATAAATTTATTTTCTATTTACGACTATTTCGCCCCTCCGTACCCTAGTTTGAGTCTCTTCTTTTTAACGACTCCACTATCATATTTAAATGCGTTTTTAGGTCACTCTTTTTTAATTCAAACCCCGTTTAATCTTGATTATAAAACATCATTGCTATGGTATAACTACATGTAAATAAATTTGCAAAAATAGTGATTGGAATATTCTTGAATGTACTTCACAGGTCAAAATGTGTGTTGCGATCATTTTGAGGAGGCGTGTGCAGTTATCGAATTTACTGTTCAACTCGAAACCACAGATGTACTGTAGGCGAAGAAAGTGCTTTTTATTTTGCAATTTAAAGTCAATTTTTCTCTCTTCACAACCTGGCATCTAATTGTCTGTAACGTGACAAATTTTGCTTTAGCATGAAAATTGACGACGTTTTCACATCAGATTAGTAGCTTTTAAAACTACCAACTTTTATCAACGTGCGTTTTCATGACGTGGCCATTCCTAAGAATGACATGTTTTAGCATATTTTAAGTCACGCAGATGAACGGTGAATGTCCTTTTAACCTAATGCATTTAAATGAATAGCATGCCAAGTCACTCCACATTACGTAACATTGTAACAGACTGACAACGTTTTCTACCATGTTATTCGTCTTTTGTTTTTCGTATCACAAACTGTAGTAAAGAAAATGGCAAGAAAAATGGCAGTTGAATGAATTTCGACCCCACTTTCATACCTTTGTCCCCGAACCCTCAATGCCCAACTGTTACTATATCATTTTTATTTATCTTACTAACTGAAATAACATGGATATGCGTTTTCCAAATCAATTTATTTCTTTTTTCATTTCGGTCAATCCCAATGACGTTATCACCATCTCCAATCCTAACAAGCCTCTCTTCCTAATCTCCAGTTTTTCATGCTTTCATGCTGTAACTCAAGCTGTCTGGCTATTACGTCAGACTGAAACAGCAAATACTGAAAGACCTTTACATCGGGATTAAAAAACAATTAAGCAGGCGGAGGTCTCTGGTTACTATTCAGCTTAACATATAAAATACACACGTAAAGTCGAGGTACCCAAGGACAGGACATCTTAAAATAACCAAGGTCGCGATAAGTAGAAAAATGAAGTTATATTATTCATCATGAGGTAAATTTCTAGTGAAGTTGTAGCGGCCTCATTTACCTCGGCAGACTGTATGATTACACCGGGAAACTATATGTTTAAGACCTCATTCCCATACCTAGATCGCACTAGCGGGATCGGTCCATCTCCGAGGGATTCTCGCTAAATTGCACTCAGCTTAAATGGCTTAGATGTCTGGCACGCCCACTGAAGCTGCTAAACGACAGTTATAACCTCCTAACAGCTTCAGTAGGTGTGCTAGATATCAGAGCTGCTTATGTATATATAATAGTAATCTGTGTAGAACCTTTCTCAATAGCCCAAGAGTTTGGTGAAAATTTGTGCATTTTTTACCTACAAGCATGACATTTGTCACAGTTGTGGACAATGAAATTCTAAGCAAATATGGTATATGGGCATTATCTCAAAATTCCAAAATGGCCTCAAAACCCAAGATGGCCGCCAAAAATACCCTTTCAAATTAATACTTCAAGTACATAGTCTTTTAATGGCTTAAAATAGCCTATTAAGGTTAGAAGATACTGTGGTATGAATTCGGTATCAATATCTGCTTCGTCAGTTGTATAAATCCAAAATGGCTGCCAAAAGTAAAAAAGCAGTCCACTTTTTCAAAATATCTATGAGAATGGTGAATTCATCATGCTCTTAGAACTACAAGCATGAAATTTATCATGGTTGTGAACAATGAAATTCTGGTAGGAATGAGAAGAGTTATTTTAAAAGTGAAAATGATCTAAAAGAAAATAAATTTAGCATAGAATGCAATGACCATAATAAAGGCAGAAGGGATATTAAAGGGATAACAACTGTTTGGTTTGGCCTAAATTTCTCCATATTTACTAATGGTTAATAAATCCAACTATATGTCAATTCAAAGTTAGTGCATTTTTTTCTAAAAAGTTCGTTTTTTGTCCATCTCTGCTAAAGTGATACAGGCATAGTCATCTCTGAAGTTCCACGTGGTCGGATGGCAAGCACAGATTCCAGAATGATTGCGATAACCGATGTTTTGGTAGTAAATAGGAATTCATTTTATTTCTATGAATTGTTTACAATATATTTATTGTGAAATATTAATCTCATACGAACAGTTACTCTCCCATTAGTATACATGTACCTTGGTGATGAAGTGAAATTTTCTGAAATTTCTAGGAAGAATTATTTTCGCTACAAAAGGTCTAATGCGCATTGCATGCGTTAAAACTGGAGCACAAAGCGCCTAGTGGGGCATGCACAATGGACTATAACCACGCTACAAAGGTACAAATTACCAAATGTCTCAGGCATATTCAAACGTGGCTTGATGATCAAGACCTTTTGTCTAGGTGTTTTCCTCTCACGACAGAAATAAAGTACAAACAAACATTTTGTCCTAACAAACCATAATATATGACGAGGGAGAAAGGTTCACTACGGGCTCGATGACTAGTCTCAGACCGACGGATGATTCAGTTTCTGGTTTTCTGGTTAGCATCAGGCACAGACGTAGGTGACGAATGTGATCGCGTAAGAGAAATAAACTTAAGAGCGACTGGAATTGGTCTTCAAATGATCACTGGAAATTCAATCATCTGTAGCACGCAAACAAATAAAGGTTTTAACCTGAACATTAAATGTCATCCATGGCAGTGCGGTTTTCCAAAGAGCGAGGCGGTGCCTCTACCAGCACGCCCGACGAGAACGATTCACCAAAAGAAATAGGTCGACCTCAGTGACGTAGACGAGAGAAGATATGTTTGTAATGAGACAGAGTACATTGGCCAATAAAATGGCATATTGAGATATTACAGTGATCAAAGAAATATTTCATGAAAAGTGGGGTATTTATGTGCACACAATGTTGATGTGTTCGTTATTTCATTATCAACCGTTCACCTTTTGCAAACATCGTATCAAAAGGACAGTTTTCACCCTCTTCATCGAGTCCTCAACCATCACTAAAGTATTTGGCTACTTACAAGGTAAGTTTCTAAAGTTAGGTGTTCTTCACGTTGATTTGAACTAAGTTAAAATTTTTTCATTACATTGAATGGTGATATGCACTTGGTGGCAACTTTCCTGTTGTATCTGTGAAATGTTTCTATAGTCGACACCATTCGAACATCATTTTACATGTTTCTGAAAAAAAGTCTGCCGGTTTTATTTGACTTTTTTCCCTGACCGCACATTAAATGTAATATTTACATGTAATGTTATGTGATGCTCTAATGGATTTCGCCCCACTCTAAATCGATATTGGTGTTACAAAAAAAAAAAGGTTAAGTGTAATTTAATTTACGACTCGACAGGTAACCCAGAAAATTGCGGCGTCACGTTTTGTTTTTCATTCTATCAATTAATTTTACTGGTCTTGAAAAGGGCACGAGTGACATGGTTTCTTTTGGTCTTACAGCTGAAAAAGACGGCGGCGGAAATGCGCCGATATCTACCAGTTCTAAATGAGTAACAAATGAAGCATCTGGACATCATACATGTATTTCTATAATCAGATGTGCGCTGAATAAGCATTGCTAATTCTTTACACAATACACCTTGGACATTCGTCATTATGTCCAAGGATACACCTAATGAGGTGAGATAAGTGATTTCATTGTATTGTTTTTTTATCTTATTTATTACGACAATAATGTCTTTTGTATTGTATTAGAATCACATACATGATAATGATAAAATACATCGCTATTTGGAAGTCCATAAAATCACAAGGAACATTTTAAAGAATATCAAGGTCTTCAAATTCCTGACTTAAAGAAAGATACCAGTTGCTTTTGCAAAACAATAACCCAATCATGCCGAGTTTTGGACTCGCCCTACCATTTTGCCAAACAAAATCTCCTTAAAGTACTACGAAAACAAGGTTCGGTGGTTGTAGTGTCAGACGCGTACGCCATCAACAACAGCTACGGCTAAGACACGGACAGACCCAGCTTCAGAAATATATACAGACACATACAACATGTACTCTCTAAGCGACTGAATAGAAATGTATAGAAAACAATGGGGCCATCAGAACAGAAGGTCCTAGTATCAACTGGCCCAAGGCTCAAATAACCAGTCTTCCCTTCAGGTAGGCTCCGCCATATTTGAGCCTTGGACCAGTTGATACTCGGATCTTCTATACTGTATGGTCCCAAAGGAATGTTGCACCCACGCTCATCTAGGAACTAGCATGTACAAGCATGTACATGTACAGTATGTACACATGCGCAATGCTCAGTATAAACATCGCGTCTATTGCTGGTGGTTAGAGGGAAAAATACGAAAAAGCATTTAGCGGACGGGTGGGTTGTGGGTAGCAGTTCAAACTTACAGAGCTCTTGTATGTAGATGGATGTTTAAACAGTGTATGGGAATTTTGTCTTGTGTAACACTGAAGAAGAAGTGCAGCTTTTGGACTTGGCTTTGACAACCATTCCTGCCACACTGTATTCGGATAGTGCTTTAAGCCAGCGACACAGTGTTGACTTTGAGCTAGTTTGAATGAATATACTAGTGAGTTGTTTTCGCAGAATGACATTTAGGCTGTCTTGTTCAAAATACTTTTTACCAAATAAACTAAGCAATCATTTATGTTCAGCAAAGATTAACGGCTGTTGCATATATTAAGTGGAAGTGTATCTTGTCTTTGTGGATGACTTTGAAGTGCACTGTAGCTTGCGGATATATAGTGATATTGAAATTTTAACCAGACTCTTACTTGCTACCTAAAGGCCCCTTAACACTGGGCTGCGTCCCTTCTGCGATCAAAAATGTGGTCAGAGCGCTCAATGGTCGAAAAAGCAATTTAATCATGTCTCAGTGTAAAGGCGTCTGCGTCCTTTGTGCGTTCTTTGA